AAAAGTACATACCTATCTAAAGAAATACAGCACAGATGAAGAATAGATGCTGGCCCAACACTCATCCCTGGAATATCTGGATAACAAGAATACCTACGCCAGATTTCTACTCATTGACCACAGCTCTGCCTTCAATACCATATGTCCAACCAAGCTAATCTCCAAACTCCATGACCTAGGCCTCTTCTCTACCCTCTGCAATTGGATCCTTGACTTCCTGACCCACAGATTGCAATCAGTGAGAAAAAGTAACAGCACCTCCTCCACGACAATCCTCAACACCGGTGCCTCACAAGTCTGTATACTCAGCCCATTACTATACACCCAGTATACTCATGACTGTGTGGCCAAATTTTGTCCTAATTCCATCTACAAGTTCGCTGATGATACCACCATTATAGGTTGGATCTCAAACAATGACAAGATGGAATACAGGAAAGAGATAGAGTGCTTTATGATGTAGTGTAATGAAAAAATCTCTCTCTCAATGTCAGCAAAATGGAAAAGCTGTTCATTGACTTCAAAAAGCAAGGTGGAGGGCATGCCCCTATCTACATCAATAGTGCTAAGGTGGAGATGGTCGAGAGCATTAAGTTCCTAGGAGTAATGATCACCAGCAATCTGTCCTGATCCACCCACATTGATGCAATGGTCAAGAAAGCACAGCAATGTCTCCACTTCCTCAGGAGGCTAAAGAAATTCAACATATCCATACAGACACTAATTCCGGATGCATCACAGCTTGGTATGGCAACAACTCTGCCCGGGAATGTAAGAAACTACAGAGAGTTGTGAACACAGCCTAGTCCATTGCACAAGCCTACCTTCCATCCATTGACTCAATCTACACTTTTCGCTGCCTCAGAAAGGCAGTCAATATAATCAACAACCTCTCCCACCCTGGTTATGGCCTCTTCCAAACTCATCTGTTAGGCAGAAGATACAAAACCTTGAACACACGTACCAACAGATTCAAGAACAATTTCTTCCCCACTGTGATTAGACTGCTGAATGGACCTCTTAAACTTTAAATTTAATGTTGACCTTGCCCTTTGTGCACCTTCTCTGCAGTTGTAAAATTGTATTCCTCACTCTGTTCTATTATCCTTATGAACTTTGTCTGCTATGATCTGCACACAAAACAAAACTTTTCACCGTACCTAGGTACATGTGATGATAATAAATCAAATCTAGTCTAATAAAAAAGTGACCAACTCCACTATCAGCTCTTTGGCAACACATTTAAATGGCACCCAGAAGCATCTTCCTGTCTATCTGAGATGAGGATTTTGAACTTGAACTGCTATCAACCCCTCTCCACGTGCCACACTTGGTTTCCTGGAGCTGCAAGTCACTATGTTGCACCCTCTCTCAGTTATGTTCCATCTTGGCTCCATTGCCTTCAAACTTCCCTCCATCACACTAGCTTGCTTTTCGACCCTCATCCTGATAAACTGTCTGTTGGAGGCATTGTATGGCATAGTGCTGGTGATCCTACCTCTGGGCTCATCACTCACCAGGCTTTGTTAGCTATGGAATAAAACATTCATGAGACAGCTCAAAAGACTAATAATTAGTCTGGGAATCCTTACACCCCCAGAGAGAAAATAATGTTTATGAAGATGCACTTAAAAGTGCCCATCTGTTGCCCTAGAACTGCCCACATCAGCTTCAAAATTGGACCCTGGAACTGCATCTCTCATCACTATTGATATGCCATTATCCTTAAACATCCTTACCCTGCCTTTCTTTACTTTTAACGATTCCAGCCTCACCAATAATCTGTTCTCAATCACCCTTGGTCACCACTTATCATGATTGAGCTGCTTTCAGTGAAAATGGACTTTCCTTCTTCCCCAGTTCCCTCACTCTGTCTCATATCACCCTTCGTACAGCTAACACAACTTGACCTCCACAACTTGACTAACACGACTTGACTTGGAAGGCCATGCCCTGATCTCCCTGGGTTATCGCCGTCCTCCCTTATATGGACAGCCATGCCCTGACCTCCTTGAACAATGACCACAACAGCACAAACAACAGCTCAACCTATCCTCTCCTGGTTCATAAACATTCTCCATATGAGTGAAGCAGTGTAGACGCTGTTGTACACCACCTTTAACCAACCATAAATCTGAAGGCACCCATTTCTTGTTTGTTTCCAATTGAATCGCAAAAGTATAATCTGATCAGCCGACAAAGTGTTTTGAAAACTATGTATGATATGCTGATGCATTTAGAACAGGTTCATATCTGCCTTTAATTCGCCACCAAATTACTTCCCAAATTTCACCCACCACCTGCTGCAAAATTAATTCTCTGCCAGTCTTGTGTCCCATTCTCTGTTTCCACCCAAAATATATGTTCTCAGGTTGCTCCACCTAATAGTTTTCTCAATTTTCTAATTTTTATCCCCTCCAAATCTCTTCTTTTGGGAACAATCAGGAGTCCAAGCATTGACACATTACAGATGTTCTTAATCATGGAAATAAAGTCTGGAACATTGATGAAGGACTCAATCACCTTTCTCATTAACCAAATATGCAACTTCTTATCAATGTGGTTGACAGTGTTATGGGAAAGAATGCTTCCCAAGAAGAAAGAAAGTGATTTCTCCATCAGATGACTCACGGACTCCTCAGAAGTTTCCAGATGGCTTGCATTTCTTTGACATAAGGGAAACAGTTGAAGACTATTACATCAGATTTATAATGGCATTGAAGGAGCACAGTACATATATCACTTATTTATAAATTGTCATCCAAAGCCATATTAATGATGTGTGAGACTTGAAGTTTAATAGTTACCTGACAATATAATTTTTCACTCAATAACACTGTTTATATGATTGCAAAGGTATTTAAAAACTTTAATTATACTTTCAGATTGTCCACATGCTTACTTGTGTGTGCTAACATTATAACATTACAGGACACCTATCTTCCACAATTCACTAGCATCCATTTACATTTTGTTTTTAAATCAGATAGTTTTATCGACTAAAATTATTTGTCATATATTTTCCCTCCCATTATGCAATAATAAATGCAATTTGCATAAACCTAAATTTGTGCTTGCTACATTTCCGAATTTTATCTGGCAAATTTTTTTTTAAAGCTACTGTCTGACTAACATTTCTGTGCATTCAAATAGGCAATTTTTGCATATTTCTAACACCCACAAATTCCTTTAGGTCCATTTATGTACTTTGTTTGTTATTGCAGTGTTGTATTCGAAACACAATTTTGTACTTATCTTCAAACTGTGCTATTTATTCTACCAGAATACTGCTGACACTTTTGCTTATATATTATCATATTCATTTTCCTTTTTACATTCTTGGGGCCCATTTTCTCCATCAAGAAAAATCTACTTTTTTTGTTGCAAGGGTTAGATATACATTCAAGGCCTAAGCTGAAAACTAATCTTTCTTGCTGTGTATTATGCTAATATACACAGATTTGGCACCTCACAGCATTTATCTTAATTAAATGGCTCATTAGCTATTTGAGAAATGTTGATGCAACATTGTTGCAGGTGCAATTATTTCCTGTTTTATTTTACTATTGCCTGCATAATCCATTCTCTGAGACAGCAATTTTCAAAATGTTGAAGCATTTATTTGTTAGAAAATTATAAATTATAAATTAAAACTGATTCTTTCCTCATCTTTGCTTTTCAAACTGGTATACCCCTGAGTTTTAAAAATCCATGATGAGATTAAAAATGAAGTGTTTGGATAATTATATATAAACCACTAATATATGTAAAGGTTTATAATTGTAGCAAGCAATGAAAAGTCATTGGGGTGTTGAGTTGCACATAAACATATGGAACATTAACATATGACATTAGATGTGTTTACTCCTAGTCATTAGTTCCAGTATTTTAGTGAAATATGAACATGTTTTGTTACAAGATTGGAATATAAAGAGTTTTCAAGACAATATGTTAAGATAGAAAAACTTGTCTATAATATTGCTAATGATGGCATACTCCTTAAGAAATCCAGAACATTTGTTGAAATACCCAGCAGTGAAATACATGCAATTATACAAATTTGCTAAATTTACATGATAAACAGCTATTAAGATCACCAGATAAAGTTAAATATCATTCTTTTCAGTGTAGGGCAATTTTCAACAGTAAATTATTCTTAATTATTGATAAAGATCCTCAGTGGAGAATTAACAATTTTTCTTCAAGTGGGGGATTCCAATCTTTCAACTGTTAATTACTGTGGGGATACTGAAAAAAACATGTTCTTTCAGTCTCTTATATCTCACTTGACCCCATCTTCTTTGTGATGTGGAGGTGCTGGTGTTGGACCGGGGTGGACAAGGTCAAAAGTCAAGCAATACCAGGTTATAGTTCAACAGGATTATTTGAAGAAACAAGCTTTCCTGATAACCAGGTATCGTGTGATTTTTGACCTTGCCCATCTTCTTTATTTAGTGGTATCTGCATGATCTGCCAATTAATGAACTACTCTGACTTATACTTCCGGCTTTAGATATGTTTCTGCTTCAGTCTGATTGTTTATGGGGGTGCATATAATTACGCTTTGTTCACACAGGTCTCAGAATCTATGTAGAAAGTGCTGCACCACAATGGCTCACTAATTGCATATTCCAGTGCAAAACTTCAGGCAAGCTTGTGAGCAATCAGTGTTATGAAGGGTTGTTTTTGTTAATTTATTGCTGACAGTTCTGTTTGTAGCTATTTAAATTTATTCTATAACCAGTATATAGGCAGGGAATGTACCTTTGCTTTCCATGTCCCTAAAATGCATTGTGCAGCAAAACTTTAAGTGGAATCAGGGAATTATTGTCTGTGATAGAAACTTGGGAGATTCCAGGGCTCAGTATTACATAAAGGCTGGTCAACAAAATTTGAGGCTCCTGGAATAGGAGTGTCAGTGTCAGTTTGGATGAAAAGAAAATTGGCATAAGGCAGACATCAGTTATGGTCAATGGCTATTTTTCTAGACAGTAGGAAGATTGGCAGTGTCACTGCTCAAGGGTTAATTCTGAGACCATAGCTTTTCAGATTCTTGTTAAGTGAGTTGGATTTAGGGAGACACAGTAAATTTCAAATTTTGCTAGTGAAACTTTAAAGTGTGGCTAGCAGTGAGGATGACACCAATCTACCGCACAGGACATAAGCTAACAGAATGGGTAGACAAACGGTCAATGAAATTTTATACATTGAATTGTCAGATGATGTATTTTGATAGAAGGGATAGAAAAAGGCAATATAGTTTTAATGTCACAGTTCTAAAAAGAGTACAAAGACAGAGGGATCTGGGGGTTCATGTGCAGAGAACATTAAAGATGAGAAACATTGAGAGAATAATTACCAAAGAATAAGGGATTTTAAGCTTCATTAATGGAGGTATTCCATACAGAGTCTTACATCCAGTTCTGGTCATTACACTTTACGAAAATGTTAAGATCCTTGAGAGGTGCAGAGGAGACTTACCAAAATAATCCCAAGGTTGAGGAGTTCATAGCTACAAAATTTGGTTGGGAAACTTAGCTTATTGTCCCAGGGACAAAGAGTTTGAGGGGAGATTTGCTAGAAATGTAGTAAAGAATAACACCATAGGAACATATGAACAGGAATTAGTTATACAGCCTATGGAAACTGTTCTGCCATTTAATACGATTGTGGCTGATCATCCACTTCAAAGCCTTTTTACCCACACTATCCCCAAATTCATTTATGTTGCTGGTCTTCAGAAATCTACCAATCTCCACTTTAAACATACTTGCTGACTCTCTGAGGTAGAAAATTCCAAAGATTTACAATTTTCTGAGTAAAAACAAATTCTCCTCATCTTAGTCCATTACAGATTCCCTGATATTTGAAACTGTGCCTTCTGGATCTAGACTCTCCAATCAGGAGAAACATCTTACCTGTTTAACTTATCTATCCATTTTTTTATATTTCAATGAGATCACTTCTAATTTTTTGAAACCATGGAGAATATAGGCCCAGTTTCCTATGGTCTCTTAACAGGACAGTCTCACCATACCAGGAACAAGTCTTATCATATCCTTCAATGGCAATGTATTTTCCCTAAGATAAGGGGACCAAAACTGCACACCATTCTCCAGGAATGATCTAACCAAAAGTCTATACAATTGAAGTAAAGCTTCCCTACTCCTGAACTCAAATCGACTAGTGATAAAGGTTAACACACTATTAGGCATCCTAATAGTATGCAGCACCTGCATACTAGTCTTCAATAAATTAATACCAAGGACAGCCAGAGCACTTTCTACATCTACACTCTTTAATCTCCTCCCATTTAAGAGATACTCTGCATATCTGATCTTCCTACCATAGTGGATAGCTTCACATTTTCCACATTACATTCCACCTGTGATATCTTTGGCTACTTACTAAAGCCTGTCCAAATCCTCTTGAAGCACACATTCATGTCATCTGTAAACTTGGAAAATATAATATTTGGTTCCTCCATCCAATTCATTGATTTATAATATGAACAGCTGGGGCTGAGGTACTGATCCCTATTATACACTGTCACAGGCTGACAATGTTAGAATGTTCTGTTGAGTCCTTCTCTATTTTATGCCTTTTAGCTAACACTTAATCCATGCTAGTACATTACCTCCTAAGCTATGGGCTATAGTTTTACTAACAAACTTCTTGCAGCGATCCTTCTCAAAAATGTTCTGAAAATTCAACTATACTATATCCATTGATTTTTATTTATCAATTCTGTTAGAAACATCCTCTATAACCTCCAATAGGTTAATCAAACATGACTTCTTATTCACAAGCCCATGCTGACTATGCTTAATCTCATCATTGTTATCCAAGTGTCACATCATTAATAAAAACCGAAAGAACTGCGGATGCTGTAAATCAGGAACAAAAACAAAGTTGCTGGAAAAGCTCAGCAGGTCTGGCAGCATCTGTGAGGGAAGAGTTAACGTTTTGGGTCCGGTGACCCTTCCTCAGAACTGTTGACAGACCTGCTGAGCTTTTCCAGCAATTTTGTTTTTGTCACGTCATTAATGTTCTAATATTTTCTGTACCAATAATGTAAGGTGAACTGGTTTGTAGTACTTGGTTTCTCTTTCTCTTTCTTCTTACACAATGGGGTGCCATTTGCTATTTCCAACCTATGGGAACCATTCCAGAATCATAGAAGTTTGGAAGATAATCAGCAAAATATTCATTATCCCCATGGATACCACTGTCAACATTCAATCATGGCAGGTTTAAATTAAAAAAAGCTGTTCCCATTAGCTGATGGTGCAGCGATTTAAAGAATATAAATTTAAGATGTTGCGCAAAAAGTGCGCGGGAAGTGTGAAGAAGTTGTTTTATTTTTGTGCAGTAACTGATAATGACTTGGAACCCACTGTCTACCAGGATGGTGGAGGCAGAGACAAACAATGGAAATTCAGTTTGCACTAGTGTGTAATAAACATGCTGGGCTATAGGGTTGTAGAAGGCAAATGCAGCTGAGTGGATTGCTCTGTAAAGACCCAGAATGGAAATAATGAACCAACAAACCTCCTTAGGTGCTGTTAAAATTATTGGGGTGGAATTTAAAGCCATCTCTTGTGGCAGAATTTTACAGCAGGTGGCATTTAATCCAATGAGAGGGTGGCATATAATATCCACCCAAGAGTTTTATCCTGCTAGTGATTCTGGCCTCAGGTTGGTGCATTACTGCCACCCTGGTGGCATTGCTAAGCAATGAGGAGTTTCCAGTGACTAATTGGCCATTCTTGGCAGATAAGATTTCCATCCCGGTGGTGCTTGATCTCTGGGAAATTTAGGGTTGCCCAGTTTAGTGCTTGATTGGTGCTTAGTTCGGTGGGCCTTTTCAAAAAGTGGTGATGCAGCGTGATTGCTGGCTGTCTGAGCAACACATGTCAGACCTGACACCTCCATTATATTCTGTTCTATAATTCTATATTACACCTGAAATTCCTAGACTGGGAAGGTTGTAGGTGACTGAAGTTCAGGGTTGGAAAATGGGTTGGATCTTGATTTCACTAGTATTCCATTGTATTTCAGCTGCAAGTCAGGAATTTCCAGTCAAGGGACCAGGAGAACATATATTTGCTGCCCCAAATCACTGGGCATATTTCAGGTGTTCCAGGTTTTCTTGGGAAATTCCAGCTTTTATGCCCTTAACAGATACCAGCCAAACTCATGCTAGTAGGGATCTACTGAAGCTCTATTGAAACCTCACAAAGTTCTGAAACCATCTCACCTCTGAGTGGCTACAATATATGAAATTCTAAACTAAAATCTTGGCCTGTTCATTCCTCCAGAGGATTCCATGCAACTTGGAAGTGAAAATTGCCTTGGGGCAGATTGATGATTACTCATGAATCCTTGTAGACTTCAGTTGTATGAAAGAACACAGTTCCCTGAAATCTTTAGCATGGGTGGCTGGATGGAGGTTTCATTTTGCTGTAACTCGCATTTTGTTCCACTTTACGCTAGTGGTGTAGGAACAGCGATGCAAATCTCTTGCAGAAATTATTTTTGAATGGTTGAAATTGCCCACTGTGAGAAAGATATAGTCAATCCATTCTTCCATATGGAGATATTTCACTGCCCACAGAGTTTCCTTGCCCTCCTGATGGATAGCAAATGCACATAGTTTTCAGAATGAGCTTGATGATTGTTTGACGCACATTGTAAATGCTTCAGTAAATATTGTTATGCTAATTCATATGCAGCACCATCATTCATTTACACAGAGAAGTGCAACAAACACTAAAATGACTTGCATTGTCAGACTTCAGTTTCAACTCACTTTTGATTCCTATATAGCCACTCACCGTAGCTGTCTGTCCTTGCATACAGCTACCATAACCAGTAGGTTTCCCAAAATAGTCATCACCATAATAGCTGAAAGAAATGTGATGAGAACTGTCTTCTGAAGTATAGAGAAACCAGGAATTTCATGTGGCTCACCATCACTTGTACTGAAAGCAAAAGAGAAAGTAGATTTAATTGATTTCAATTACAAACCTCTGAACAGCATGTGTCATGCAATACAGAAAGAAATGTACACCATAACATTTTTGAAAATACTAGGTGCAAAGTAATAGGTAGCAGGATGGAGGAGAATTAGACTGGTAACAGGTTATTATTATTTAATCAGTATGATTGAGGGGCGATCTAACGGAGGTTTACAAAATTATGAGAGGCATTGTTAGGGTGGATAGCCAGAGGCTTTTTCCCAGGGTGGAAAGGTCAACTACAAGAGGGCACAGGTTCAAAGTGAGAAGGTGAAAGTTTAGGGGAGAAGTGCAGGGAAAACTAGTCACACAGAGGGTGTGGGTGCATGAAATGCACTGCCAGGGGAGGTAGTGGAAACAGGCACGTTAGCAACGTTTAAGGTGTATCTTGATAGACACATGAACAGGAGGTGAACAGAGGAATAGAAACTGTGTATGGGCAACAGGTAGCAGGTCTAAACAAGGATTAGGAATTGGCATGGGCTTGGTGGGCGGAAGGGCCTGTTCTTGTGTTGTATTGCATTACTAATTGTCTGAAATACAGGCGGAATTTGCTCATCATTATTACAACAAAGTGTAGGGACCAACATGTCATCCTCAACCAGTAAGAGAACTTACTGGTTCACCCAGCAACCAGCTCATTAAGAGCTGAGAGGCAAGCAAGGATGTCATTCTCGCCCCATCAGGGACCTTGACACTGGGGAACTGAGTCTCCAGAAGCTGACGGTTTTGGTTGAAGTCTACTTTCAAGATGATTCAGTGATAAGAAGGTACATTTTAAATCTTCTTATGTGGTCTGGATCAATGGGAGGGGAGGGAGTCAGAGGCAGGACAGTGAGATAGCTTTCAAAGGCATCCCCATGCACCCATCTGTGTCTCTGATTATCTCCAATAGGGGCAATTCAGGGTTCCCACCAACTTGGCAGGGGATCATCATTTTTCCCACATGGGAAACTACCTATGTTTCTTGAATCTATATAGAATCACAGAATCACAGAATCTCTAGAGTGTGGAAGCACTCGGCCCATTGAGTCCACATCCACCCTCCAAAAAGCATCCCACCCAGAACCACCCCTCTACCCTATCCCTGTAGCCCTTTCCTATCCCTGTAGCCCTTTAATTCCCAGGGCTAATCTACCTAACCTGCACATCCCTGACACTATGGGCAATTTAGCATGGCCAATCCACCTAGCCTGCACATCTTTGGACTGTGGGAGGAAACTGGAGCACCTGGAGGAAACTCACGCCAACACAGGGAGAATGTGCAAACATCAAACAGAAGTCATCCGAGGGTGAAATTAAGCCTGGGTTCCTGGCATTGTAAGACAGTAGTGCTAACTACTGAACCACCCCTTGGCCACCACTGGTAGCACATTGAACATGAAGGTGGCAAGGTAAGGTCCTTAAGTGACCATTATTTGGCCCCTTAAGGACCTTAATGGCAGGTATGGCGAGAAAGTCATCCATGTATCTTCTCATTTTCTCAGCAAAAATGGGGCAAGTTTCTCACTTTATCTTACCAAACTTGCCTCATTAACTACCTGCCATGCCATTTGGTGGAATTTATGTCTCCAGCCAAGTGTACTACAGGCTACCTTTCAGGTTGTGGCTTTCATGTGCACTATTCATGTTCAGAGAGGGATTTTCATAACGATCTTCAACATGGCTGCGACCTGTTGTATCAATGTGCACGCACTCCACCGTGTTGAAGATGGCTGCATGTCTCTTGGGAGTGTTTGTGAACCATATCTGGAGGGCAGCTCTTTTTCACCCAGTCAGCAACTTGTGACCTGACTGCCTGCTTAAGGTAGCATCAAGAATTTGAATGAATTACAACCATGGCCAGGCTACTGTGTGTTATGCTACACAGGGCACAATACCAATGGTTGCAAAACAAACTGGACATTCAGGAATTAGAATGCCCTTTCTGAGCAAATCCTGGGGAAGTCTGCATTCCATGAAAAACTTGCTATTATCACCCTGCTTTGCTCTGTAAATTGAAAAGGTAATGCAGGTGGTTTTCCTGGTATAGGGAGTCTCTTTGATGTCTTGGATTCACTGCACCCCTCTTTCCTCTACTCTCAGTTGCTTCTTCTACTTTTGTCTTCTTTACTGCTTTCTGCCACCCTATAAGCAGACCAATCAGATCACTCAACTTCAATAAGATTGCTTTGTAAACACAAAAATGTCATTCAACATCAGCAAGTACTAATCAGAAATCAGAACTTAATTGCAGAAAAGCATATAGTTGGCCAAAAAAAAACACCTAGGGGTTAACAAGCAGCCTAAACGAACAAGGTAGTAACTAACCTCTTTAGAATGAAAGGGTAATTCAAATGAGACTGCTAAACATTCATCTGTCAGTGAATGCTATGATTTGCTAATTGAGTTATCCAAAGTCAAATTTCACATCTGAAATATTTTAATGAACATAGAGTCCCAGAGCTTTTATAGCCCATCATGACCACACTGGCCATCAACATCCATCTATCCTAGTCTCAATTTCATTGCCCATAGTCTTATAAGCTATGGCAGGGTACGTGTTCATTTAAGTAGTTCTTATATGTCTCCTCGACCATCCTTTTAGGCAATGAGTTCCACATACTCGTGTCTCTCTGGGTGATTATTTTTCTCTCAAATCCCCTCTAAACATCCTGTTCCAAATCTTAAAACTGTGGTCCTGACTCATTTTCTCTCTACAGAGGGAGGTGTTTCTCCCTATCGACCCTGTCTATGCTCCTTACAACTTTGCATACCTCCATCAGATAATCCCTAGACTTCTCTGCTCCAAGGAAGACAACACCAGCCTAACCTGTCTCTTTTCATAGCTGAATCACTCCAGTCCACGCAATGTCCTGATGCAAACAGGTTTTGTTTTTATATAGAATCCCTACAGTGTGGAAACAGGCCCTTTGTCCAAACAAGTCCACACCGACCCTCAGAGCATCCCACCCAGACCCATCCCCCTATAACCCACCTAATCTACACATCCCTGACCACTATGGGCAATTTAGCATAGCCAATCCACCTAACCTGCACATCTTTGGACTGTGGGAGGAAACGAGGAGTACCCGGAGGAATCCCATGCAGACACGGGGAGAATGTGCAAACTTCACACAGACAGTCGCCCGAGGGTGGAATTGAACCCAGGTCCCTGGCGCTGTGAGGCAGCAGTACTGACTACTGAGCCACCATGCTGCCCTCAAAGGTGGTGTGGTGGCTCAAACAGGTAGCACAGTGGCTCAGTGATTAGCACTGCTACCTCACAGTGTCAGGGACCCGGGCTTGATTCCACCCTTGGGTGACTGTCAGCGTGGAGTTTGCATGTTCTCTTCTGTCTGGGTGGGTTTCCTCCAGGGCACTGGCTTCCTCCCACAGTCCAAATATATGCAGGTTAGGTGGATTGGCCTTGCTAAATTGCACAGTCTAGGGATGTGTAGGCTAGGTGGATTAGCCATGGGAAATGCAGGGTTACAGGGATTGGGTGGGATGTTCTTCGGAGGCTCGTTGTGGACTTGATTGGCCAAGTGGTCTGCTTCCACACTCTAAGGATTCTATGTCTTATGCACTGTCTCTAGTGCAATCATATCTTTCCTATAGTATGGTGACATGAATTGCACATAGTACTCCTTCTGTGACCTAGCTACTGTTATATACAGCTCCATATTAACCTCCTTACTGTTGTATTCAGTGCTTTGACTCATAAAGACAGGTAACCCGTATGCCTTCTTGACCACCCTACCTACTTGTCCTACTGCCTTAAAGCATCTATGAATATAGATGCCAAAGTTGGTCTGAATATCTATACCCCCTAGGGTCCCCTCCTTCAATGCGTACTTCTTTGTCTTGTTAATCCTCCCAAAATGCATCACCGAACACTTTTCAGGATTAAATTCCATTTGTCATTGTTCAGCCCATCTGATCAGCTCATTTATATTGTCCTGTAGTCTAAAGCTTTCCTCCTCAGTGTTTAACACACCATCAATTTTTTTGTCATCCACGAATACACAGCTCTTGCATTCATGTTTAGATCGTTAACATACACAACAAACAGCAAGGCAGCCAGCATAAAACCCTTTGGTATGCCACTGGACACAGGCTTACCGATCACAAAAACAACTCTCGACCATCACTCTTTACTTCTTGCTATTAAGCCAATTTTGGATCCAATTTGCCAAATTGCCCTGGATCCCAATGGTTCTTAGCATCTTAGCCAGTATGCCATGACAGATCTTGTCACAAGCTTTACTGAACTCCATGAAGGCTACATCAAATGTATTACCCTCATCTACACACCTAGTCACCACATCAAAAAATTCAATCTAGTTTATTAGACATGATCGCCTTACAAAGCCATGTTAACTATCCTTGATTAATCTTTACCTCTCCAAATGGACAGCAGTTCTGTCCCTAGAATTTTTTTTCTAATAGTTCCCCTACCATAAATGCTAGACTCACTAGGCTGAAGTTTCCTGATTTATTCCTACTGCCCTTCTTGAAAAGTGATATCACATTCACTGTGTTTCTGTGGTCAGGAATTAAAAATTAATGTCAGAATCCCTTCAATCTCCTCCCTTGCCTTCCACATGACCCTGGGATATCTGTCATCTGGGCCTGAGGATTTATCCACCTTCAACTTGCCAAAATTACTAATAATTCCTCTGTCTTAACACTAATTAATTCAAGGATATCACAGTCCCTCTCCCTGATTTCAATGCCTACCTTGTCCTTCTCTACCATGGATACTGTACACATTACACAGATCTCCAATTTTTAATACTTCCATATAATATTTCCAAGGCACCAAATAGTCATGGAGACCAATGGAGAAACTTGATTTAATACGACAACAGCACACACTGAGTGTGAAATCAACATGTGTTTCATTTATCACATTGGATCTTTCAGCTCCTGTATTATGCCTATGACAGACTCTCTAGGCCATATCTTTTTTAACGAAGGGT